CCCACTCCTACATACCTTACAATGTGTATTGAGCCATTCCCTTTGGTCTGAACTCTCCGTGTTGAGTGTTTACTGTTTGTGTTATAACAACTAGAGAATTTACTATGAGTCACACTTCAGAGAGAGAGAGAGAGAGAGAGAGAAAGTGACAGAGAGAGAGAGAAAGTGACAGAGAGAGAGAGAGAGAGAGAGAGAGAGAGAGAGAGTAGCAGGAATTCTTCTGTGAAACAATTCACACACACAAACTCTCTTTATTGTTCTTGTTATTATTAAATTGCCCGTGGGCGTATTATCCCCACATGCTAGCCTAATTTATTTTTTATTGGTTATCCTTTTATCTGTAGCACCTCAAGGCAGACCAAGAGGAGTTTTAGCTTCAAGGAAGTCATCTTCTGGAATGGATGCAATAGAACTATCATGGGAGGTACAGCCCACAGGATGTGTGTTCATGTATACCATTAGTCAATGTACATTAGTAATACACACACTGTGTACACTGTATATGTGTATGTGTGTGTGTTTGTGCTTTTTTAGATGGGCAAAATTAATTCTCTTTTTCCTTGAGCTTATCATTCTGATAAGGCATACATGTACATCCATGTCCTTTGTTATGACTCTTGGTCTTTTATCTTCGTGTACTTCATTATACCTCATTCCTTTTATGTACATGAATTAGTCACTCTATAATCCAATGAGTATGGCATATCCCTCCCTGCTAATCTCCTTATGCAGTAGCCTAATTTGTTTGATTTGTTCTGTTCCAGCTCCATTTTGCCATTTTATTTTATGTATGCTCATTCTACTATCTACAATATACATGAAATTTTTGAAGTTATTTAAGTTTTGCACTTCAAATGTCACGCACATGTAACAGTAATATCAATACTTTATTTGATGCAGTAACTATAGTAGCACCTATATCAGATATTAGTAATCCCAGGGTGTGGGGAGGCTATAGTAATTACATACTTGTTCTAATGTTATTTTTAATTTTTACATGTTTTCATACAGAGTGTGTCTCCATTACCATATGCTCAAGTCTTAAGCTATGTAGTGATATACAATACAAGTGTCAACTCGACCGAGACCTCCATTGACACTGGGAGCACTAGAGCTTTCTACACATTTACCAACGTCAATCCTAGCCACACCTACTTCATCAGAGTGGGAGCCAAGAACATGTGGGGCCTAGGACCTTACAGTGCTCTGGTTAAATCAACGAGGAGTGATGGATCTGGTAAGAGGGAGGGAGGGAGGGAGGGATAATTGAGGGATAAGAAAGGAAGGAATTATTATTGTTGTTGTTATTATTATTATTATTATTATTATTATTATTATTATTATTATTATTATTATTATTATATCACTTTATCCCTAGACTCTAATCAAAATCGAATCACTGTTAACACAATGGTAATGGTCAGTGATACGTATGTACAAGTATCATGGACACTCGCTGGAGATTTATCTTACATCAGAGCATTAACAATCACTATTGATGAACTCACCATTCAGTCATCTGGAAATGTAGCGACCACACGCGTATACACTGATGTTATATCAG